CTTGCAAGCTACCACTTAATGAACTATTTCTGAGTAATGTTTTCACTCGCTTTGTATGTGAAGTTTTCCAAATGCTTTTCTCTGATAGACAGTCATCTCTATTCTGCTCAGATTTAGCTTCAATCTAGTGTTTTTCATGCATTAATTTGGTACTTGTCTAAATTACAAGCCACTGCAACAGTATGTATGACAAAAAAGGAAAGTACAATAACTGCATGTTATCTGCAAAATTCCATCAAATCAAGACTAGTTATGAAAAATGTTTTTGTTTTTTTTTTTTTTGTTGTTGTTGTCACTGATCTTAGTTATATCCCCTGAGAAAATACATTTCCTAAAATTTTCTCTTTTCTTCAATCCAGGCTACATCATTCCTGTTATGATTCTCTACATGAAGTACAATAAAATGCACCTTTAATCTAAAATTATTTACAACTATATAAACCAGAAATAAAATAGTACCATATTTTCCATCAGATTACAGCTATTCAACTTTTCATGTATGTTGAGTCTTGTTATGTTATAGTATTAATGAACTATTTTGTGTGTCAATTATCAGCTGTGAGAAGTAGAATAAGCAGTATACATATTTGCATTTAGTTTGGATTCTTTCCAATGTGTGTATATATGTGCTAACTGAAGCAATCTGTGTGTGGCATTTTTATGTTGATAAACTTAGGGCATTCCATTTGTGCGAGCATCTACTAAAAGATACATAGTTTTGGATAGTGCTTTTCCAAGCCTACAAACTCAAAATGAAAATTTCATGACTAGATAAAAATATGCTTAAGTGCATTTAAATTAGTGAAACTGTCTGAAAAGTTGTGTTTTGCATAGTATAAAAAGTGTGCTTCCATCTCCATTTAGAATACTCATATGCGTATGCATACACAAATGCATAGCCCACCAAAATGACTAAAGATTACCTAGGAAATTTATATAAACCCTCATTGTCTCTCTTTTATTTTTCTTTCCAATTCTACTTTGGGTGACCATTGTTAAACTGGGAGCATCATTCAACACAAAAAGACAGAATTAGTGTCTTTTTGCAAATATCTTGCAAAAGTTCTTTTTCTCTTAGATGCAAATTTTCTGTATGCTTATTAGTCTCTGGAGTAATATCAGACCATATTTAAATCAAAGAATATTTTTATGTTAATTTTCTCTCTGGGTAAAGACTTTTTCTTGGAAAGAAGGCTTAGCCAGATTCCCAGTAGAAGAAAATATTTCCTTCCAGGTACATGAGCTCTCAGATGTGTAAAATAAAATATTGATATTGTCATTACCTGCCTTTTCTTTCAGTTATATTTTATAATTATTTTAAAATCCTTTTGCCATGATTGTACTTTGAATTTTAGATCTACACAACTTGAGTTTCCCTTACACAACATCAGTGTGTTGTAGAATATTGGGCCCTATCTTCTTTCCCCATTTCATTGTTATAATGCAAAATTTGATTCCTTACTTATACCATCCCATTTCTCTGCAAGTTCACGTCCACCTCTTTTACAGAACTGTGTGGATGGAGGGATAAAAAGAAGTTTTGGGGCAAGTCATTGCCCGAAACTCATTCAAAACTCTTTCATTTCCAACTGCTGTTTCCTGCCTCCTAAAAGCACAAGATCAGGCGATTCCAAAACATCAGAAGGAAGGCAGGCAGGGCAGAAGGCCAGCCTGGCTGACCAGGGGTCTTCTACTGGAGCTTAGACGGAAAGTGTACGGCTGCTGGAAGGAGGGTCACGCGATGAGGAAGGAATATAAGGATGCTGTTCGTGTTTGTAGGGAGAAAATTTGTGAAGCCAAAGCCCAACTAGAGTTGAAGCTGGCCATGTCTATGAGAGACAATAAAAAAGATTTTTTTAGATACGTTAACAGAAAAAGGAGAACCAAAGAAAACATAGGTCCGCTACTTGACAGGGAAGGTCTCCTCACAGACAATGACATAGGCAAAGCAGAGATGTTTAATGCCTTCTTCACCTCTGTCTTCAATGCTGATGATGGGCTTCAGGACCCTGGGTGCCCTGAGTGGGAGGACCATGACGGTGGGAATGACAAACTCCCAACCAACCCTGAACGTGTGCGGGATTTTCTGCTCCACCTGGATCCATACAAGTCCATGGGTCCAGATGGGATCTATCCCAGGGTGCTTAAATAGCTGGCTAATGTTATCACGAGACCTTTCTCAATTATTTTTCAATGATCTTGGGAATCTGGAGAGGTCCCAGTAGACTGGAAGCTGGCAAATGTTGTGCCAATTTTCAAGAAGGGTGAGAAAGAAGACCCTAGCAATTACAGGACTGTCAGTCTCACATCAGTGCCTGGTAAAATTATGGAGAAGATGATTCTTGAAGTTATTGAGGTGCACCTGGGGGACAATGCAGTCATTGGTCCCGACCAACATGGGTTCATGAGGGGTAGGTCCTGCCTAACAAATTTGATTTCCTTTCCTAAGATCACCAATCTACATGGCCAAGGGAAACCAGCTGATGTGATATTTTTAGACTTCAGCAAGGCTTTTGACATGGTTTCCCATAGGATCCTACTGGACAAAATGTCCAGCATACAACTTAACAAAAACATCATACGATGGGTGAGCAATTGGCTGACAGGCAGGGCTCAAAGTGTTGTGGTTAATGGGGCCACATCTGGCTGGCAGATGGTCACTAATAGGGTCCCTCAAGGCTCCATTTGAGGGCCAGTCCTCTTCAATGGCTACATAAATGATTTGGATGTACAACTAGAAGGTGTTTTGAGCACATTGCCAATGACACCAAACTTGGGAGTTGTGGACTCTGATGATGGTGGAAAGGCCTTGCAAGGAGATCTGGACAGATTGGAGAGCTGGGTGATCACCAACCACATGAAGTTTAACAAAGGCAAGTGCTGGGGCTTGCACCTGGGACGGTGCAATCCTGGCTATACATACAGACTGGGTGACGAGATGCTGGAGAGCAGCCCTGCAGAGAGGGATCTGGGGGTTGTGGTTGACAGCAAGTTGAACATGAGCAGTGTGCCCTGGCAGCCAGGAGGGCCACCCGTATCCTGGGGCGCATCAAGCACGGCATCGCTAGTCGAACGAGGGAGGTGATTATCCCGCTCCACTCTGCGCTGGTGCGGTCTCATCTCGAATACAGTGTGCAGTTCTGGGCACCACAGTACAAGAAGGACATTAAACTGCTAGAGAGTGTCCAGAAGAGGGCGGTGAAGATGGTGAAGGGCCTAGAGGGGAAGTCATATGAGGAGCAGCTGAGGGCAATGGGCCTGTTCAGCCTGGAGACGAGGAGGCTGAGGGGGGACCTCATCGCGGTCTACAACTTCCTTGCAAGAGGGAGTGGAGAGGCAGGTGACCTATTCTCTGTAAACACCAGTGATAGGACCCGCGGGAATGGTGTTAAGCTGAGGCAGGGGAAGTTTAGGCTGGGCATCATGAAGAGGTTCTTCACTGAGAGGGTGGTTGCACACTAGAACAGGCTCCCCAGGGATGTAATCACTGCACCAAGGCTGTCTGAATTTGAAAAGTGATTGGACTGTGCACTTAATCGCATGGTCTAAACTTTTGGGCAGACCTGTGCAGTGCCAGGAGTTGGACTTGATGATCCTTAAGGGTCTCTTCCAACTCGGGATGTTCTATGATTCTGTGAAAGCATCAGCTTCTTTTAGGGGAACAATTCTGGGTGCTTCTTTTTCCTCACTATGGCTAACCCTTCCTGATCTGCTTTTAGGGCTATAAAGTTCTGCAGGAGTGAATAGATACGCAACTATTCTGCTGCAATTTCTTGTTACTCTGAATGTATGAGGCTTGAGGGGAGGGAACATGACTGTATGGAAATGGCTTTCTTATCCAAGTGGAAACAGTTTTAGTCATCTTTCAGGCAGGCTCCATAAACATAATGCAGTGGAGGAGCTCGCAGAGCCATACTTTAATGGCCATTAAAATTGCATCTGCAGTGCATTCAGTGCCAGGATACGGTGAATACCCATGTTTGTATTATGAATGGAAGACAAATGTCTTGTGAGTGAAAGAAAATCTAATGTTAATTAAACTTTTTCTAGGGGTTGGGATGGATAATTCTGCTTTTGTGTTGTTAAATCTCCTTTGATTTTAATTGCATGACAAAAAGAATTGACTGCAAATGTAATGTGGGCAAATGCTCATATTGATTACAAGCCCCTGTGTATGCTAAGTCAAAGAATTAAATGCTTTTAATTGGGGTGGTTTTGTATGTGTGTGTGTGTTTTTTGTTTGTGTTTTTATTATTATTTTTTTTTCTTTCCATAGGATATCCATATTGATAACAAAGCTTGTACTGTCAGTATGTTGAAGGTCACTCTTATAACCTGTTCAGTGAGAACTGCTCCCCTTTAAATGAAAAGAAAAATCAACTGAGCATACCTAAAATTGTCAAAAAAAAAAAAATCCTATTACATTTACTAAATTTCAATTATATGTTTCAGATTTACATGGAATTCAGTGAACTCTCAGGTCAAATATGAAAAATTGTAGCAAATTTTCAATAATATGCACAATTTTTCCCCCTTTTGTGGCTGACTTAGAGAAACAAGGCACGTTCCTCTCAGTGATGACAAAGGACAAACTGAAATGATTAACATTAAAACATACATAATACTGGTGATATGTTTTAGAACTGGAAACAAAGGTATGATATGTCTTATCCATCTGTCTTGCCTCCCTGTGCATCTGTCTGTCTCTCTAGAGCAAGTCAATAAAAATGATTAGAGCTGGCATCTCACAAATGTACACCCTTAAACCATGAAGCAATAATACTGTGAAGGAAATTTTTTTCTGACCTTTTCAAATTACATCCAACTGTCTAGGGAATTTCTCAGTGACTAGAGGTAATAAGGTTCAATCCGTTTTGCTGGTTGGCTTCAAATTTAGCTCCTCAGAAGCCCTAACTTATCTATTCTTTTTATCTTGGCCTTGGCATCTATTCAGTACAGTAATCCATGCATCTAATCTTTTTTTTTTTCTCCCCTCTCAGGTTTAGCTGGTGGATCACGTTGTAAAATCTGCAGCCATGAAAGGCCCTCCATTTATTGCACCCTTCAAAACGAAATATTAGCATGGGAGGCTAAGCTGGTATGTTGCCTTTGAGAGGCTCTTGTTGAATTTAATTAGCTTTTAGATTTCATCTCCATCTCACATCTCAGCTTTCACTATTGTATGTGATTTAGGCTTCAGTGATTTTCATTATTTAAAACTTTTCTGACTTAGCTTTGCCACTTACGCCCTATAGAATACTAAAAGGAGGGGGGGAGGAGGCAGGGAAAAAAAACTTAAAGTTCATTGTCTTAAATTGATTTCTGTTGTTTTTATGATGTGAACTCAGAAACAATAGAGACATAGCCTTCCAGTAAGTTAGTGAATCAATCAAGTGAGAAAAGCAAACAAGCATTTGTGCATGGCTTGTTCCTCATTGCACTTCATGAAGTAGAACTGGAAGCAGGTAACGAAAATCTTTTGCAGAATATTTATTAGAGAGTATTTTGATGTCAAATGCTTTCATATCTAGGAAAAAAAAAAGTTTTCTTTTCAACTCAGTATAAAAATATTATAATAGGGTAAAGGGACTTACAGTTTTAGATGTCTGAAGTTTCATTTTTGTGATTTATGCAGGGTGTTACGGAGTAGTGACTTCAAGTTCTGGTTCACAAGTAAATCCATGTCAGTATAAGGAGAGCTGTCGATGAGAAATGGTAAGCTCTTGGATGTTAACTGTGTAAAATTTTATCCTCCACATGGTTAGGACTTAGAGTTTCCTTTTACTTCAGGCAAAGGAAAATCATAAAAATTGGGCTTTACTGCTGTAGCTTCCCGGGAGTATTAAGTCTGTGCTTAGTTATATCTGATGTGCTATTGAAAGGGCTACAAAATATTCCAAGTGCATGCATATCAAAAAGCACCTATAAAACATTTGCTTTTAATCATATGAGAAATATTTGGAAGACATACGCAACTTGCTTTAGATTCAAGGCAAAGCAGTAGCTATAAGGAGGCTTGGTAAAGATATGTGGTGATGTTTTTCGTGAAGTAATCTTAATCATATTTTGATTCTCCTTTCTGATGCGAAGGAAAACATAGCTGGTTGAAGTACAGAACAGGGAGCTTTTAGATCTTGTCCCTGTATGTAACTAGGTCTTTAAAAATACTATATTTGTTGAGTCACTTAATCATTTTTCATCAAAACCATTGCTTTTGTGAAGAGCTGTCAGTCAGTACTTGGCATAGGATGAGTGCTGGTGTCACATGACTATTTCCTTGTCTTCAACTGGTGCAGCTGAAATAAAATAGGTTCATTTTTAATCAAAAGTGCATTGTGTATGATTGTTTGTAGCAATGTTAAAGATAGAGGACTTACTAATCTGAAGGCCAGTAATACGCCTAGAAATCAACCACTTAAATGTTTGAGAATATCTTTTATTCTGAAATTACTTTAGGGAAAACAGTTCCACACATTGCCAAGCCTTCTGTCCGCTATTATTTTTTTTTGACTGTCCTTATGGTCACGTCATGAGAAGAAGAGTTTCTAAATGGATGGACCCAGGTATATTTTTAAGCAAGCAGGAATAAACAGTTCAAAACTCCTTTACAAAAGATAATTGGCAGTATGCTAGATAGTGCCCTTGTTTCAAAACTAATATTAAAGGACATATTTTGACTGTATAAAAACATACAACTGTACACATATAACCCTGTCCTAAACAGTACAGTAGCTGGTGTGGTCTCTCTCCTTTAAAATGGTGTCTGTAGAGTATAATCTGTTAAATTAATATTTGTCTGAATGCTAATTTACTCTTACATCTTGGAAGCTCCACTGATACATGTAGAGTTATTTCTTAATAAAATAATTTTGCTTTTCTTAATCCTACATGAATTAGGCTTCTCCTGGCATTCCAAAATCCAGTCTGGACTCCAGACAATGGAGGCCAGCAACCTCAGACTATTCATAGTTTGCCAAGACTATCAAAGGACCACAAAATGCCTCATGTAGCAAGCTGTAGCATCTCAAAGCAAAGTCGCTGATGTTGGCTGTATGTACATCTTACAGTAGCTGTTTTGAAGAAAGTATAATAAATAACCCGTCTCATATTTCTACCAGAAATATGTAAAATACATAGGGATGGGATTATTTTGAGTGCAAGTAGGATATTAAGATGGCAGCAGTGTGAGCTTTCTATCACTGGACGTGTTCTTCTTTCCAAAATTGCTTCTTATTAAAATTCTGCATACTGGACTGAATCTTTTCAGTTTATTCTTCAGATCTATCTACCACTCTGATGGGTTTCAACTCATAAGTATTGAATATATTCTCATTCTCTTGTTATCTTCTTCTCTCTCTCCCCCTCTTCTTCTCTTTCTTATTGGAGTTCACAGTTTATGTTGCATAAAGGAAACCATGTGCGATATCTAAATATTTACATTTCATTTGTTGGAGTGGTTTTGTATCAGTAGCTATGAGCTATTGACAAAATACATATTGAACAAAATGTCTTGTGTATTCAGAATGTAGTTGAATATCTTTTTCTTTGTCAGAGCCAAGCATTCTGGATCACTGAAGGTCCTCAGTGATCCATAACCTCAAAGCAGTGTTCTACTTTATGTTATTACTAGGGAATATCAAACTCTTCTCTACAAACTAAACTACTTTCAAATCAAACACACTAGATTGTCTTATAGCGGAAACAGTAGTAATTCAAGTCCTGATTTTTGTCTGTTTAAACGTCTTTGTAGCTTTGCTTTCTATTCTGTGCTTCCTGATTTTTTATAAATTGGAAGTCAAACAATAGGAAAACAAAATGGGCACCGGGGAAAGGTATATGAAAAATTGTGTTTCAGCTTTGCCTTCTTTTCCTCAGTTCTTAGAAAAAATCAAATACTATTATATATCAATATAACAAAGCTTTATGAGAAGAAAATTCTGTAGATCAAGTCAAAGTAACTCCCATACATATATCAGTAGTGTTGAAATGGAAGTTTGCATTGTGCGCATCAAAGGAATTGTGTGAATGTTATTGATACACCATTCTTCATTGTTCTGTGTTATTTATATTTTCATCGTTAGTCTATAAAGTCTTAATAATTAGCTCTCTAATTTTCCAGAAAGAGCATGTTAATTTATTGAACTGGCTGAAGCAAAAAATAGCTGATCAATCTGGCATTGTAGGTTAACAGTATAGAACAAAGCATGGTCATAATTAGTCGAGAAAAGGACTTTCCTTGTTCATTCCAGTTTATAATAAGAAGTCCCTTGCCAAAGTGACTTAGAAAATAATGCATTCAGACTGAGCAGAATTACCGCCTAGCAGATTCTATTTATCTGTAGCTTAAAAAGCAGCTGCGTTTTTGTAAAAAGCAATGAATGTGGCAGTCCTACTTAAAGGTAGAAGAAAAAGAACACCCCTTGTTTTGTAATAAGGGGATTTTCAATTTAAAAGAGAGAGAGAGCCTGTTGTGTGAAGTATGGTTATTACATTCGCTGTATTCTATCTCACCCACCAGGAGGCTAATAACGAAGGAGTCAGTGAAGGAGACCAATGCCACAAGGGTTATCTCGCAGCCCCAGATGCTGGATAAGTTGGAGGAGGCAGAATCGCTTTTGGATGACATTCAGGAAGGCCTTGAATGATTATTTGGTGAAGAAAAGACTATTCTTTTCAAGGTAAACAGTCCATTGCATCTGTCTGTTGTTGTCGGAGGTGTAAAATATGTTTGTATAAATACCTATAAAGTTCATTTTTTATCATTTTTCAGGTTTTTCTCTCAATGCAGCAATGATCTCTTAGGAATCCTTTTTGAGACAAAGGATCCACTCCATATCCAACCACACCTAAAGAAATGCTTTGAAGGAATTGCCAAGCTCACTTTTAATCATGAGAAAGAAATTACCCACATGGAGTCAGCAGAAAATGAAAAAGTAGAGCTCGTGCTGCGAATAATTCCAGCAAGTGCCAAGGGGCTAGTTGAGCAATGGCTTCATGAGGTGAATATCTTTAGCTCTTACTTAGGGTTTAGTTACTGTATAATCATTTTCTCTTTTAGGAGCAATGAATATCATAAGCATATTTCCTAACTAAACAGCTCTCTGAATATTTGTCAAGATGTTGACAGATTTCAGCCTTATTGTTGTTATTTATTGCAGCTAATTTAGCAACTGCAAATGTGCAAAAATTAATTTTAATGAAAAGCTCTCAGAGTCAGGCTGTCAGCAGAAGTGGGTCTGTGTCTGAAACCATGTATGTGAATATATGTCCGAGTCTACATGTATGTGTTTTTGTGCTTTCATGGTGTAATGTCTGTAGCTGATGAGGAAAACATTTTTTAAACAATCGCAGAAATGTAAGATTTCAAATGCTTCCATCCTGTAGAAATGTATCCCATTGTGTTGGAGGGGTTTAATTTCCAATACATTTTAACAAAAGGGAAGAGAACTGATAACATCCTAACCTTTCCCCTTCAGGCCACTAATCCAAATTCATTGGTTTTAGCAAGAAATTAGTTTGGTGACCTTTTTTGTTGTTGTTGTTGTTCACTTTATTTAACCTTCCTCTGCCAGAGGATAGGAACTGGCCCTTGTTTTTCATTTCTGGACCAAAAAAAACTTCCCCTTCCCCCGTGTTTGCTTTCTTATGGGGCAGGATCAACCCTGGGTACATGGGGGCTGCCAGCCAGCAGGACAGAGCAGCCAGGGGAGTGTTATTTCTATTCCCAGATAATTTGGCTGACACCCTGTGTGCAGAGGTGGCAGCAAAGCCCCGTGCGGGTAGTGGGTTGGAGGGGTTTGGCCCCATTGTGTGTCACACTTTTGCTGACTGTGTGAGCAAAGCTGAGCCCGCAAGCCCTCTCGTGTGTCTCTGTTGCCCACTGTGTTGAGAGTCACAACAACATGCTAGGTTGGGCCAAGCCCCCCCCCCCCTTTTTTTTTTTTACAGCAACTACATCGCATTTGAGGTGGTCCCGCAACAGCATTCTGTGGGGTAAGGTAGGGAGGAAAGCATGTAAGGATTTAGACAAACACAAATGCTCCCTACCCTGTTCTCTGTGTCAAATAACTAGCTTGATTTTTTTGGACTAGTTTTCAGCACAAAATTTTCTTCCTTGGAGAGTAGGGGGGGGGAAGCTACAATGGGTAACTGGCAGTTCTGAGGAGCCCAGGAAAAGCCTAAATTCTATTACACTAAGCCTGCAATATGCTTTTTAGTTTTTACCTTCTCCCACAAATGAAAGATGTTTGGAGAGTTGAGCAGCTGTGTTTATTTTAACACATCTCATTTAACCTTCACCTAAAAACAAATTGGAAGGTTTGGGAGTGCATTAATCTGGACCCAATTAGTGTCTCTTTCTCTCTCAAAAGTGCAACCTGAGATTAATGAATATAAACTAGAGTTTCATATGCAGTCTTTAAATCATTTGCATGTTTTATGCATGATAATTGAATTTATTTATGCACTTCCTTTCATTTAGTGATTTCTTGCTCTTTTCTATGCTATCAACATTATATTATGCAAGACACAGGATTATGGTAGGCAAGAAAGGATAGCGGTATATAAATCAAACCCGATTTAATTCTTAGTTCTAGTGTCAACAGTACATCAGAATTAATATTGGTATCATGCCAGTGGGGTACGTGGCCAGGAAAATTTAAAATATTTTTGGTAAAATAGAGGCTTTTAGATTAAGGAGACATTTCTGATGCAGTTTAGATTGCTTGCAAGTGTATAAGCAAAATTATTTTCAAATGGCAGTTAAATTATTGTATTGACTTTTCAATGACCGTAGAGACTTGTGTTTCAACTTGGCCAATTAGTAGTAATAAGAAGATGAATAGTAATTACATTAATAAATAACTGTTTTTAGACCAGGATTCAGTATCATAGTCTGGCTAAGAAAATAAGGGCATTTTATAACTTGTTTCATTTGGTCTTTGATCAGGAGAAAAAGGACTTTGGAACTATAGTAAATCTCTTACAGCCAAGAATGTAGCAGTCCTAGGGACTAGTGAGCCATATTAGCTAGCAGCTCTGTGGTAGTAGCTGTTTCAGTGCCATTGGTAGGGAATTTTGCTTTGTTTAAGATGAGATGTCTTAAAGATTTCTTAGTGATGGTCTCTGCATTTTTTATAATGCATGCCAGGAAGCTACTATGGCAAGGAGTTTTAATAAGATGCTGGTAGTGGTGCTTTCAAAGCTTTAACCTATACCAGTTTCTTTTTTGTCTCGTCTTTCCTATGTGTTGAAAGATGTATGTGGAAGTGATATTTTTCTGTGGTGTCCTGTCTTTTATCAGTGGATTAAATGGCTGTGTGTTGTGATCGTTTCCTGATTCTCGTAGGTAGGAATGTGTTTAAAGGCTACAGCTCTGTTAATTTGTGATGTAACCATTTCAGTGTGTTTCTTGTCATTGAAATGTAGTTTAAAATGTTCAGTAATGTAGCATGAAATTATTGGTTAGTTTTGGAATGGTGGTGAAATCATGTGAAGAAAATAAGTATTGCATCTGATCAAGATAAATTCACTCTAGTGTTTTATGGCTTTTTATTCCTATGTGATAGTAATAAAGTCTCATGTAGGGATGGAAGCCATGAAATACATTGTGAAAAATCATCAACTCAGATGGGGCCATCAGGATAGCATGCTGTAGTTGTAGAGTTCTTGAGAATGATTGGAAGATGATTTAGTATGTCACCATGTTGACTACCATGTTTTGCATTTTGTTTCTTCATCCATCACCCATGTAGTTTGATGAGAAGAAATCAGCTTCTAATGAGCTGAACCATCTTTACATCAGTGTTCAGTGTTTAAACTGTTCATACATCTTTCATTTTCTGCTAAAGATAACACTGTATATGAAACACTAAGCTAAGAATTTAATACAGCTAATAAAAAAGGCCACAACGAATACAAGTAAAAACCAATGAATTTGTAATTGTTTGAAAATTAAGAATGAAAAAAAAAAACAAAAACACAAGGTCTAAACTGTTAGCACACGGGCCAGGTTGTTTATTTCCATGTTCAAGAGCAAATCTGAGAGATGGTCTGGGGATTGACAGATCTTTGGGGATCTTTTTCCTGCTTACTTTTATTGGTGAAAGTGCACAATCTTTTCTCTCTCTGTAACTGAGATAAAGGCTGACAGTGTTGAGGGCAGAAAACAATCTCTAACAATGTCCTTGCAGTGCTGCCATTCCATATATTGCCTTACTGCTGCAGCTGTTTGGCTCTTTTCCTTTGGGAATATTTTTGGGAAGTTTATTTGTTCTGATACAACTATTTACAGTTTTCATTCTGTATTTTTTTCTGAAATGTATACTAATAAAGGTTCATTGATTTTTTGGTACTTGGACTCCTTTATTATTTCTCTCCTGTGTGATTTTTTTTTGTCTGTTAAAATGTGCTTTCTCATTAGTGTAGCTCAGGACATCATCTATTGAAAACCCCCACAATAATTAGGCAAGAATTATATTTGCCATTTTTTATAAGTTTAAATTTGTAGTTTAAATCAAATAGTACACAGAATAGTTTAACCTTGATCAAATTCACAGACATAGTGTGGCGATTATTTCAGTTTTACTTTGGCTTCCACAAATGGTAAATACCTGCTTGTGCTGATGCAATGGAACTAAAATGTCTAAAACCTTGTAAAATAAGATAACTTCAAACTTCTATGAAAAGGCAAAGTATTTGCCTTCTTATGTTTTAGCAGAATTGCTTCCAAGACTATCCAGGATGTACTGCCAAGAGAATAAACTGGTCTTGTCTTTCAACTTTGTATTTGGTTAAGATAAAAATTGTCTTCATCGTTTGCCCCCAAATGTTTTCAATATTTGCTTTGGATATGGCAATTACTTTCCAGAAACCTGAAAGAAAATTCTTAAGACAGTTTCAAATGTTTTACTTTACTCTTTTTCTCCATTTATCCCAGTTTAATGATAACAATACAGATTAACTGCAATCTATCACTCCAAAATAATATGAAATTCATCTTTACTGCAGACTATGCTTTGAAAAGTACTCTACAGTTCCACCTGAAGAGCATTTTTTCAGTACTGTATATTGTTTCCAAATTATTTCCAGAGTCAAATGCTCTCTAAATTGAAGTACTTCTGTTAAATGTCGAGCCAAATGGTTGAAGGTGGGATCATAAAGGAAAGCTGAGTTCTTTTCCTGCATGCCAGCACTAGCTTGGAAGGGCTCTACTGACCAAAAATTAAGTCCTTAGTTTCATCAGTGCCATTAATCTTTCTAAATTGCTTTCTTTGCAATGCCATTTCTTTTAGTGAATTTATACTGGTTTTACTTGGTAAATAATTTATTAATTGTTAACTGTTGAAGAGAAACCAGCTCATTCTCCCATAGTAATTTTGGTTCTGCAGTGGCGTGCAGAAGCTATCAAGTATTGTGCATTCTATCAGAAATTAATCTGAAAATGCAATGAGGAAACACAAAACTGAATTTCAAAAGGCAGGTTTTATCACCAGGGCCACTGTCATACCCATACTTTTTGTGGAGGACATTTGATAGTGCAAAGTAACGAGATATGTTAAAAACGTACGCAGTTTTCATGGTCTGAAGGTTTGTACAGTGAAGAAAAATGTACTTATTTTCTCACACCTCTGGTAACTATGCAGGGTGCCCACCTGACCTTCTGGTCACTGAAAAGTGTTTACTCTGCTTGTGCTGGTGTTTCTGGGGTGAAGTGGTTAAAATGCAAGACTTGGCTTTGTATTGCGCTAATGTAACTATAGCACTTTCTGTCTGCTGAGAGCAAACCTTCATTGAAGCATTAGCGAGACTAGTTCATGCCTGCAGTAACAAGGCCAGTCAGCAAAGCTGTAGGAGGTTTCATCTTGCCAACAGTTTTTGTCCTGTTTGCTTAATGAAACATAGGATAAATTTAAAAATTTAAGCATGGCTTTTTGAAACTGCCTTAATAAGTCGGTGCCCTGGTTTTGCAAATAAAAGTCACAGAGTAGTGGACTGAAATATATGGAGAGAATGACAAGAAGGTTGCAATTCCCTGAAATAATGCTAAGGTTATTATATCCCTGTAAACTAGGCACCAGAATGGCCTAACAGAGCTATTTCAGTTTGGTACCTTTTCTTGATGTGTCTCCTGATGCAACTCCACTGGCCTCATTTTATAACCATTTTTACAACCATTTATTGATCCATGAATTAGTGAGCAATGGCCTGTCCTGGAGCAGTCACAACTTATGTTTTTGGGTTTCTGATGTGTTTTTCTTTTGTTATCAGGGGTGAAGGAGTTGGTTTGGAATTTCTTTTCTTTGTAGTGTTTCATCCAGATAAACTGTAGATACCTTTACACTATTTCCATAAAATTTCATTATTTATACCCTAATTGTTTTTCCCTTCCCCCTTCTACCAGGGTGGAGCTGATTTCTCTTCCCTCTTCCCCTCCGTCTTTCCCTTCCCCCTCTCCCTCTCCCCTCCCCTCTCCTCTCCTCTCCCCCCCCTTTTTTTTTTTTTTCAAATCCTGCATCGTGATACCAGAAATCTCTCTTTGAATTATGTGTTATCTTTATAAGAGCTTGACAATCAAGCCTTAAGTGACACCTTGCCTTGATGGCAAAGAGAGTATTTTTCTTGTCAGTGTCAATTTGAGTAAAAAGTGTGTGTATATATGTTTAAAATGTAGTCACTTGTCAGAAGAAAAGCAAGGTCTTGTCACAGAGATGAAATGTTAAAGTTACTACTTTGTTTAATATTTTGTAAATGTCCATATTGTGTAACTTCTTTATTTATTAACAGCCTGAGTCAAGAGCAAGACAACATGATACTTACACCTGGCACTACTCAAAATACTGTCTTAGGTAACATACCAGCTTTCAGGAGAGGCAACCTCTGGCAATCACAAATCCCAAGCAGGATTTTAGGTCTTTCTAGGACAATGAACACAGCTTGAGTGTCACCTGTGAAAGGATGTAAGCCTTTGAAAACAAGTGTAACATGTTTTCTAAGGCCAGAAATATAAAATGAAGGGCAGTTTTCTTCCGTTGGAGCTAGTGCTTTAAAGCAGTCTTCAAGTGTAGCAACATGGAGAATAAATTACAGCAATTCAATCTGGATGTACAAAAGACTTTGTTAACTGTTGGGAAGACCATGCCACTGGGGAAAGAAGAGAGGTTTACAATAGCTGCCTAAAAATTGGAGGTAGTATTTCTGGATAGTGGAACTTACCTATTCTCCTAGCACTACCTTTGTCTTGCTGGTGTCAGCATCAGTTGACTTCATCCACAACCTTGTGCTGGACTTTGGAAAAGTAGGCAGGTTTGCGGGGGTGAAAGGACCTATGTACATAGAGGAAAGTAAGTTTTCCTGATCAACTTTTTCAGTATCGTTTTAATTAGATTGAAAGGTACCTTGTCAACCTGGTGTTTTACTACCCAAGTGTTTTTTACCAAGTTTAATATTTATTTTAATTATCTTATTTTTTCTTGATTTCTTAAGAAATATTGTACACAGTGAATTACTTTAAATCTCTCTCTCACACAGTCTTTTTAATTACAAACTATTGTCTGTAACTTCACCATCTGGCCAACATTACATGAGTTGTCATATTTCTCTCTCCCTTGTCAACATAGGTGGTATTTGTTTCTGGTTTGCAACAGCCGTTGCTAAAAGATGTTGCATGTCTTTACATTACTTGCTTGGACAGCTGAATGCTTTGAGATATTTTTTTTTCCAGATTCGAAATAAAATTATTTGGTTTGATCTGAGTTTTTGGTTGATTTGCTCAGCTAGGAATGGCATTTTGAGGGAATTAACTGGGATACCTTTGGAACTTTAACAAGTAGGGAAACTAGAAGAATCATAGAAAAAAAAACAGTTATCTCTCAAAACAATTTGGACAAAAAGGATTTTTGTTCTTATTTCATGTATGTTTCCTACTCTGTATGCTATTTTTTCCTGCCCCAACAAGGAAGTCCTATGAGGAGGGTGTTTTCTTGGTTCTTTGGCTCTGGAAGCACTTATGCTCCAGGGCATTGGAAGGGGAGGTATGAGGAGATGCCCTGGCTTGATAAAATCTGGAGACTAACAGTAGTCAGAGTACAAATACAAATTTGGTGCTTTCTCTTTGGTCAAAGTTCTTGAAATTTTGAAGAAGCTGTGAGTGGAAGTCCTATATACCCCAAGAACTTATTATCTTAGGACCCACTACATTTCTGTGGGATATTTCTGCTATCCTCATGCTAATCTTTGTCCAGTCTTTGTCCTGGGAAACATGAGGCAGGGGACAGGGAGAGGTAGATAAGCAAGGGAGATAGAGTGCCAAAGAAAGGATCAGTGGGTTAGTGAAAGCTGCATGACTCTGGATTCATTCCAGCCGTCCTCTGTACAGACGCTTTTGTGAAACTCACTGTGGCTTCTGAAAGGAAGGTCCCTATTCATTCGGCCACTGAAGGAGATCATGCTAATAGGCTGCAGGATCACAAAGCACTCACCACCTGCTGTCATGAACGCAGGTCAGGCTTTGTCTGCTGTGCTGAATGCTTTTTTTTTTTTTTTTTTTCTCTTTAAAAACTGAAGTGTAGGTATATATTTGATGGAGTTTGTGACTCTTTTGTGTCAGCATTTCAATTTTTAAAAGATGAGGATGAAAAACAGATATTGTCTTTATTGTTACAGGTAAGCGTAAAATACATCTTTTGCCACTAAAACAAGGTAGTGTTCAGAAAGAAATTCCTAGAAATCTGTATGGAAATTTGTAGATAAGAGAATTAAATCTAAACCAGTCTGATTTAAAATTAAGGTTTATTAACCTTAGGCTGAACTTTCTAATTTTTATGCAGTAATAATGAATTATTTTGCTGACAGTAAAAATATTCTCAAGTTTCTAAACTAATACATTGAATCTAATTTCTCACTGGAACTTTTTCTTTAATAAAATACTTGTGTATAGTTTCACATTGACAAAGTGAATCTCTAATATTAGGGTTGTTAGAAGCAAAAGTCTGCATTTGTAACCATTCTGTCAAATTTGTCCTTTGAGGAGAATAGAAAAATACATAGTTTATAATGTAAATAAAGAAATGTTCAGTGTAGCCTGTTTCACATTTCTAGAATTTAACTGGTGATAATCTAGGATTCACAAGAGCAATAAACTCTGTCCTGAAATAAATCATCAAATTTGAAATGCAAACTTCATAACAAATCTGAATTTCAAATGATAGTCTTGGTATTGGTATTACAAGTTTGTAATGAAACTTGTATATGAATCAACAGATAGTGTCTTCCTTTCCTTTTATTATCTCATGAAGATCCATTTTAAGAAATCAATTTCTTAGTGTGTTGAGATAATAGGAACTTTTTGAAGGA